AACAATCCGCAATCTATCATGTACAGTCAACCTCGCTAGTCTGGCCATCATAGGAACAATAACAGCTACGGACTCCAGGTTTTGCTCCAACTGGCCTTGTGTCAAACATGAATGACCTGGGTTGTACACATATATAGTCGTGTCAGCAAAAACGATCTCCAGCGTAATATAGTGCCTATTGATGCACGCTGGAATGTACATATGTGTACAACCCTCCCATGATTTTTCCCCGACACTCGGCGACATTCCTATGACCCACTCGAGCATATATTTTGGCACAGTGTACTCGTTACTCATAAGTTGGAGCGACTGATACTCTATGGTAACGGCACGCAGGAACTCGGTGTTTAATATGACTCGACCATGGACGTCAAATGATTTTGGATGTCTTTGAGGTCGATCTCGCAGCAAGTCTATGGCCAAGTCGATGTGCTGCATCAGGAAACACCAAAAAATTATAAGTTATTCATTTAATAAACACAAAGTGACGTATACATAAAAAACATGAAATGAATAGTTCACTTACATTGTTGGCGAGTCAAGCTCCAGAAGTGGTGATATCATGGAACCACTTGTATGCGTCCGAGACCGTCCGATTACCTATCGTGCAGCTAACTCTGAAAAAACAAGGAATGTTAAAATAAGTATAGACGAGTTAGAGTATAGTGTTTTATTAAAATCATACAATACTTACCCGAGGATAATTCTCTTTCACTCCGTCTCGAACGTTTTCCACTTGGCGTTGTCCACCTCCCTGAATAAGTTCGGGTGTGTCCCATCGATGAACGTCCTCATCTTGGCCTCAGCTGTGAAGGAGGAAACAACATACTGTGACGGCACTCTCAACCTTTTGCCGACCACCTGCTTCGTCTCATCAACAGCATGTCTCTTACCCTTAATCAAGACGGGCGTCCTCTCGACCTCCGGGGCCACCTCCTCCGCCCCTCCCATCGGAGCCACCCCCTCTTCTATCCCCATCGGGGCCACCCCCTCCACCTCCATAGACAACCACAATAATTCTAATATCTCATCACGCCAAAAATATGGGTGACCCTCTCTCCATCACCATCTCTGCCACCCTCTCGATCATCATCTCCGCCATTCCCTCTGTCCCCCCATCGCCTACCGGCTAAATCTCCTCTAAGTGCCGCTACCGTATCTTGAAGGTCGACAATGCAAGACCGTAGCATTCCAACATCATGGGATAGATCGTCAACCCTCCCTATCAACTCTCATCCCATATTGTCGACCCTTCTTGTTAGATAGTCAACCTTCCCTGTCAGATCGTAGACCTTCACTGTCAACTCTCGTCCCAGATCATCGACCCTCTCCGTCAACTCTCGTCGTAGCGCGCCGACCTCCTCCGCTATAAATCTTGTCAGACGGGCATACAAATCATCACTGTATGTCGGAGATACACGGGGGAGGTGTATGGACGAGGGAGAAAGAGATATCCTCGGCGGTGGCGATGCCAATGGTGGTGATGATGCCCTTGACGGAGGTGATGCCAATGGCGACGACGATGCTCTTCGACGGAGGTGATGCCAATGGTGGCGATGATACCCTCGACGGAGGTGATCATCGATCAGCTGGACCGCCCTCCTACATAAATAACATTAAAAATTATTCAATAAATTTATACGTCAACGATATTCAATAAATTATATTTAATTCACATACCCAATCTCGATCCAAACTCGGATCAGACATCTCCTTGTCTTAGGTGCGCAGAACGCCTAAATCCAGCACAAGACCCCGAGCCTCCTCTTCCATCGACAACGTCAACTCATGTATGACTTCAAGCTGACATATTCACATTTCAATTAGTTAACGATCATGTAAACAGATTTTAAACTACGTATAATATAAATTACAAATGCACAATACTTACATTAGGATCGTCGAGGAGGGCCGATAATTGTTTCTCAGTAGGACATTCGTCCGCTCGCGATGATCTCCAATGATGCATCTGAGGGCATCATGTCTACCCTCACTTCGTAAAGCGAGCCCCAGTACAGGGACTATCTCATACACCCAAATCTGCAACACATACACTTATTATGCATAAATGCAATATACTAAAACTTTAACTTTAATTATATTAAACATTTACCTGCACCGCTAAGGGCAATCCATATATTTCGTATTTACGCATTGACCCCCTGGGCCTTGAGTGTGATTTGGTGAAGACATGTACGGTGTCTTTGTAGAATCTTTGGCCCCATGGATAGTTGTTGAACACATCGATGTCGTCAACAACTTGCAAATGAAAAATATCGATGACAGTCTTCTTGTGATGACACCTCATCACACTCTCGAGGATGTAAACCAACCCAAACTTCAATCTATCTAGCATCTGGTCGCACCCCCTGGTCGCGACCGTCAACTCGGGTAGAAGCACTTACCCATGTCCCTGGAAGTACGTCTCGTACAGCCTATTGCTTCTCTCATCGTCGCCCGTAATCCTCAGTCCAGTGATCAAGCTAAACTCATACATCGAGAAACTGACGACCTTGCCCCTGATATCGAAGTGGAGGGAATCGTCGTCGATTGGCCTCAGAAGCCGACATAGAAGTGCATCGATGATCTGTCTTGAGCACTGCACCTCTCGTATCTGGTACAGTGGCCACAAGAATGACTGTCGTAGCATATCTCCGTGATGATCATCGACCAGCTTCAATACAACAGTAAAACTCTTAAAACTACTGTTCCAAATAGTTTTCCCCGCCATCCGTCTCAACTTTCCATCTAAATGATACTCCGTCTTGCAAAAATTCAAATGTTAGAACATTGAATAAGAGATGATAAAATAACGCATAATCTCAAAAAATCAATGAGAACCGAATTCTTGATAATAACAAAGTAAATTAAATACAAATGTAAAAAATAAATAATTAAATTAAAATACAAATTAATAAGATTTTCAGCAAAAGGAAATTATTATTATTAAAAAAAAATTAAAAATTAAAGATTAAATATATTTTCAAAAAAATTAAACTATATAAATATTATTTAAATAAATTTTAAAAAATTAAATAAATAAATAACATAATTATTATTTAATCAAATGAAAATTATAAAGAAAATTAATCTTGTTTATTACATTTGGAAAATTTATTTACAAAAAAAATTAAAATTCAATAAATAACATGAAAAATAAATTGCTACGTTCAGATAATATTCAATTATTAAATTATATAAATAAAAGACAATTAAAAAAATAAATAAATAACATAATTATTAATTAATTAATTATAAAATATATTTAAAAATTTAACAAATTAAATATATATATATATTTTTAAAAAAAAATTAAATGTTAATAGTCTTTGGGTCGAAACAGTAGGCCCAAGACTGTTAACAGTCCGGCCCAAAGACTGTTTAGTCTGTTAACAGTTTTTGGCCGACTGTTAACAGTCTTGCCCAACTATTAATAGTCGGCCCAAGACTGTTAAACCCGACTGTTAACAGTAGGGTTTAACTGTTAATAGTTAACGTCGTTCATAGAGCTTTTCTTTGTCAAAAATCGCCATTTTAGACAATGAGAGGTCCAAAAAATTCACATTTTCCACCCAAACACCACACAATCAAACTACTCATACTAGTATTAAACCGAATAAATGTAAAAAAAAAATTCACTTGATTATATAACAATAAAAATTACAATTTTGTGCGAGAAAACTAACCAAAATGGTTTCGCCCGGTGGTAGATAGTGGTCGTTGATCCAAGTCGCACGTCGGTTGGCCGGTGGTTGATCGAAAAATGTGGCAATTCGGGCGTCGATTTTCTTTGAATTTCATAGTCGGCTTCCAAAACAGTTTGTCAAGGGTAAAATCGCCCTTTTGTGTCTAAAGTTATTTTTTTAACTTTTTTTTATTTTTTTTAATTGACTTAATGGGTCAAAGACCAATGTTAAAATTTGTTACAGTACAAGAGTCATTTCTGTGTATTTCCTCGTTCTAAGGTGGCTTAGGGGTTGGAAAATTCAGTGACTTCTGAAATTTTTTTTTGCAAAATTCAGTAACCATTTAGGTGATTTTTAAATTTCAGTGATTTCTGGAAAACTTTTTGCAAAGTTCAGTGACCATTTAAGTGATTTTTAAAATTCAGTGACCTCTTGAAAACTTTTTGTAAAGTTCAGTAATTATTTGAACAATTCACTCTAAATTGAAAGTTAAGATAAAATCTGCAAAAATTGAAAAGGGTGAGGACCACTACTGCAATTTTTCCTATTTTAGAATGATGATTAATCTACGAATCGAAGATGAATTGGTAACGTTAGAGATGTGACAAATTGAGAGTTACGGAAGAATTTGTGGAAATGTATATAAGAATCGGTGCTTGTGGAACACTTTTATGAACTAAGGAAATAATTGCTCATGATCTTTGATAAAAATGACATGGCATTATGGATTCTTTAAAAATGTAATTACAATGATGCTACGTCTTCTAGGACTACTCCACCAGTCGGATAATCATCTCAAATTTTAGGACATTTTGACTACTAGCAACTGCTAGACAGTGTTGAAACTTAAAGCTTGCCTCCTCAAAAGGCATATTTTTTCAACGAATAGAGCTCTTGCAATTACGCGATCTGCCAAAAAGCTCGGTTTGATTACAACTTTACAAATGACTTCAATGTTTCGACAATTTTTGACATCAAATATGTCAAACGTGTACAATTGGGGATGCATGTTGGCTGCTGCTTCTTTCGTGAGGATTGTCATGAATTGAAGAGGCAAATAGTGTATATTATTGACATGGGAAATGGAGCTTTTGCATAGTGAGTGCTCTCATTCAGTCATCCATTTGACTATGGTTGGGAAGTGGGACGAGTCAGCTCGCCCGTTGGGAGCTCTCACAAGTGAATCGCTATTCGAACTGTGCTTGCAACTTGCTTGAGATGCGAGCCACTAAGCAGCTGGCACCAATTCCCACCCCTGCATTCGACTATAGTGGAACTACTATTCAAGTTGTGTCAATGTCAATCAAGAGGTCAAATACTAACATGGACTCGCACACATTTATGAGTAATCATGAATTTCACTCATTTCAAACACAATCCAATCCAAGCTGTGCAATTTACAAGTGTAAACAAACACAAACCACACTAAGTTCTTTCAGAACATATACACATAAATATAGAAAGATTTCAATCTCTCTCTCTCTCTCTCTCTCTCTCTCTCACACACACACACACACACACACACCAGGGGCTTTCTTAAGTACAATGGCATTTTATGCCGATTCCCGTGTGATCAATAACATATTTGAATCGTGGCAACTCCACTCTCAACACATCTTACCAGCAAAGTTTCTTCTTCTGTGTAAAAAGAGAGAACCGAATACATATTAGCAAATGACTTTAAAAGATCAGTTAACATACATCCACATGCATATGCACGCAAAAGTAAGCATATATAGTGTTGAAGATTCGTTGTTCAAAATCAATATTAACGTGTATGGAACGAAAAATGGGAGTTAGGCTAAAAATTGGGCCCAAGTTACTACCAAGCGACCGCATGGTTATCTTGGTCATGCGGTCGCATGGCCATATACCGTTGCCAAAGGGCCTCGGTGGGTTTGAACCATGCGACCGCATGGTACAATCTTTTAGTCATTGGAAGCCGTTTTCTACCTTTGAAAATTGAAATTTGGTGACTTTTGGCTTATAGTTTTGTACTATTTCGTGAATGTGGTGTATGCCTATATATATTGGATCCTTGTTGAAAGTAAATACAATTACAAAAACATCAAGATTCCATATTATTTCCAAAATCAAAGATCAAAGTCTTTTAAAGGCCATATTCAATATTCATTCTTTGTGTTCTTCAAGTTTTCTAGAATTTGCACTTGTACTTTGGTGTTTAAATCCTTGTAATGCTTGTTATAATCCTACAAACCATTTGCTAACAACCTTCGAAACATCTCAAATTCATAGGAGAAGGGGGCCAATATTGTTTGAGGACAACGATATTGTGTTCAAGTCATTCGTTGATACAAGTTCGTGATTATCTTGTTGTTGGTATTGCCGGTTCGTGATTCGTGATTTTTATTCCAACCCAGTGAAATTTTTTACAACAATCCCAAACAATAGTTTCTGCAATGGAAAGCGAGACAATGATGGCGACAATCAAACTCATGAATCAAGACTTGATGCGGTTAGATCGGTTCGATGGAACGAACTACACTCGATGAAAAGACACATTGAAGTCTTTTCTCATTGCACTAAAGATCTACATCCTAGATCTGGAATTGGTACCACTATCGGAACCAACAAATGGAGAAATCGAAGCGGTGAGGAATGGAAGACAAAAGCACCAAGAAGATGAGTTGATATGCCGCGGTCACATTCTCAACGCATTAGCGGATCGTTTGTATGACCTATATACAAATACAAATTCGACAAAGAAATTTTGGAATGTGCTAAAAAATAAGTACAGAGCAAAAGAAGAATGTACAAAGAAATTTTTAATTTTTAAATACTTCGATTTTAAATTTTTAGAGAATATTCCCATTCTTATCTAAATACATGAAATGCAAGTAATTGTCAATAAGTTGAAAGCGGCAAAAATTGAAATACTGGAGACCTTTCAAGTGGGGACTATAATTGCCAAATTTCCCAAAACTTGGAAAGGACACCGGAAGAAGATAATGCATAGTTTTAAATATTATTCTTTGGAACTACTGCAAAAACATCTTCGAATTGAAGAAGAGTCGAGAATGCGTAATAAAAGTGGTTCTCATGAGGGCACTTCCAAAGCAAATGCTGTAAAAAAATTCGAACCGCCAACAAAATCTAACAAAAGCAAACATTCGAAAAACCTTAATAAGTTCAAAAAGAAGACCAAAGGAAGATACTTTGTTTGTAGGAAATCTGGACACTACGCAAAAGATTGTAGATACCGGAAACACAACTCCAATGTTAAAGTGAATTCCATCCAACAAGACAAGATTGTAGCCACCGTGAGCGAAATAAATGCAATTAAAGGAAAGGTTCCCGACTGGTGGTATGATACTTGTGCCAAGGTGCATCTATCATATGACAATTTTTTGTTCAAAACATACAACGAAGTGAATGGAGACCAAGAGATCCAAATGGATAATGAGGTGCGGTCCAAAGTAATTAGAAAAGGAAGTGCAGAAATTATCTTCACTTCCGGGAAAAATGTTACTAACACAAATGTACTACATGTTTCGGATATGAATAGGAATTTAGTGAGTGGAAATCTTTTGAGAAAACTAGGCATTAAAAGTGTCTTTGAGTCCGGTAAACTTGTATTATTACTTAACGAAAAATTTGTTAAAAATGGCTATTCATGTGAAGGAATAGTCAAACTTTGTATTATTGACAATGAAATAAATAAAGTCGAGTTTGCTTATATGATTGATTTATTTTCTTTATGACATGCTAGATTAGGTTACATGGGTAAAAGTACCATGAAACACATAGAAATTGCGACTTAATTTCATATGATAAAAATGATGCCGTTAAATGCAAAACATGTGTAGAAGCAAAAATAGTTAAAAAGCTTTATCAAAGCGTTAAAAGGACTTTTAGCATATTAGAATTAATTCATTCCGATGTATGTGAATTGAATGGCATGCTAACAAGAGGTGAAAATAGATATTTTATAACATTTATTGATGATTACTCAAGATATACTTATGTTTATTTGATGAAACATAAACATGAGGCCTTTGATTTGTTTAAGACTTATAAGAATGAAGTTGAAAATCACTTAAATAAGAAAATAAAAATCTTAAGAAGTGATAGAGATGGTGAATACCTTTCTAGTGAATTTAATTTATATTGTGAACAACATAGCATAATTCACTTATGTTCTGCACCTAGGACACCCGAACAAAACGGTTTGACTGAAAGGAAGAATAGAATCTTAGTTGAAATGATTAATGTCATGCTTATATATGCTAAGTTGCCGTTTAATTTATGGGGTGAAACTTTATTAAGTGCATGTAGGATACTTAATAGGATTCCTTCTAAACATACAAAGGTTTCTCCATATGAATTGTGAAAAGGAAGAAAATCGAACATTAGATACTTCAAAATGTGGGGGTGTCTTGCTTATTGCAAGAACATAAATCCTAATAGGACCAAATTGGGTCCAAGAGGCATTAAATGTATTTTTGTTGGATATGCTAATAATAATAGGAAATCCTATAGATTGCTAAATTTGGAGACCAATGTGATTATCGAATCAAGTGATGTAGAGTTCTTTGAAAATTTATTATCATCGGATAATGAATTGAATGGAAATATTGAAAACATCCCTAGCTCAAGTGGAACACGTGATGAAATGTCTTCTAAAGATATTGATGAGTCTAGTGAACCACGAAGAAGTAAGAGAACTCGAGTTGAGAAGTCATTAGGACGGGATAAAATTGATTCTCAACTTATCTCCTTTTACTTAGTAGAAGGAAATAAGTTGAATATTGTAAGAACAATTCCTTTTGTTCTACAAGTGAAAACCGACCCTAGAACATATAAAGAAGCTATGAGTTCTTGTGATAACATTTTTTGGAAAGATACAATTAAAGATGAAATGGATTCGATAATATCTAATAAAACTTGAGAGAACTTGTCGATCTACCACTAGGATCCAAATCTATTGGATGTAAATGGGTATTTAGGAGGAAATATAATGTTGATGGCTCTCTAAATACTTTCAAGGCTAGATTAGTAGCTAAAGGATATCGACAAGAGGAAGGAATCGACTATTTTGACACTTATGCATCGGTAGCTAGAATAACCTCAATTAAGATATTATTCGCATTGGCCTCTATATATGACTTGCATGTTCATCAAATGGATGTCAAGACGACATTCTTAAATGGAGATCTTGATGAGGAGGTCTATATGGAGCAACCCGAAGGGTTCGTTCTACCTGAAAATGAACATAAGGTATGCAAGTTAGTAAAATCTTTATATAGTTTGAAGCAGGCACCTAAGAAATGGCATGTGAAGTTTGACTTAGCTATAACATCATTCGGATTTAAACATAATAGCGTAGATAGATATTTATATTCTAAAGTGTATGATGATTATGTGATATTTATATGTTTATATGTTGGCGACATGTTGATTATGAGTAATCACATTGACGGTATAGAAGAAACAAAGAGATTTCTATCTTCCACATTAAAAATGAAGGATCTTGGTCAAGTGGATACCATTTTAGGTATCAAAGTCACAAAGACTAGTAGGGATTATCACCTAAGTCAATCGCATTATATTGAGAATGTGATAAACAAGTTCAAACACTTGAACATAAAAGAACATAGTACCCCAATTGACCCAAGTTCAAAACCTGTAAAAAATGATGGAAAAGTGATTGCTCAATTGGAATATGCTAGTACTATAGAAAGTCTTATGTATGCAGTTCAATGCACAATACCGGACATAGCCTATGCCATAAGTAAACTTAGCAGGTTTACTAACAATTCGAGTAATAATCATTGAAAGGCCATTGGAAGAGTTTTTGGATGCTTAAAAAAAATCAAGAAACTGGGCATGTAATATACTAAATTCTCAGCGGTATTGGAAGGATTTATCGACGCTAGTTGGATATCTAGCGCGGGTGAGAGGAAATCCACTTCGGGTTGGGTGTTCACTCTTAGAGGATGTGTTGTCTCTTGAAAATCAAAGAAACAAACATGCATAACACACTCGATCATGAAATCTGAATTTGTAGCCCTATCGGATACCGAGAAAGAGATTGAGTGGCTGAAGGATATCCTTTATGAGATACCTTTGGGATCGATGAATATTTCTTCAATACCTATCATGTATGATAATTAAGCCATATTAGCAAAAGCATATAATGAGGTATACAATGGAAAGTCTAGACACATGAATCTTAGACATGACTATATAAGGAAATTAATCATGGATAGAATAATTTGGCGGATCCTTGACTAAACCTCTAAACAGAGATTTAGTAGCATCTACTTCGAGTAGGATAAGGTTGAAACTCCTTAACTAAAAAGGTTCACCAATGACAACAATCCTATTTGTCATTACTCAAAAGGTAATTTACTGGTTCAAAGGGTAACAACAAGTCATTCGATATGTGGATAATTGCAGCGTTATTGAAATCCGCAATAATCCTATCATAATTAAAATAATGCTGGATGTTATTGAAATGAGGGATGAGCTTTAAGCTCTTAATGAAGTTCAGTGCTAAAACACAAGTACCTCTAAAAGTAACAAATGTAATGAAAGAATTTCATCTAAACAATCTTCAAGGTGATGCCGCCTAAATAGAAAGTTGGAGTTTCTCTCTTAAAAGATTGTTGAAAAGGATGAGCGCAAGGCCATAAAAGCGCTAAGCGAGTTATGAGAAACTTGAGAACACGTGGTACTGGTGTGTGTGTTCTTACCGGTATTGTCATATGGAATAACTGGTTCAAAGCTTACACGCTACCTTTGATTCCGACTATACTTTGTTTGAATTACACTATGGTTAGATTCAAATCGAAAGATATCTAATCTTTATGCATAAGTATCGTATACTATGAATATGAAACTTGTTAATTTTGAACAAGTGGGGGATTGTTGAAAATTTGTTGTTCAAAATCAACAATTAACGTGTATGGAATGAAAAAAGGGAGTTACGCTAAAAATTGGGCCCAAGTTACTACCAAGCGACTGCATGGTTATCTTGGCCATGCGACTGAGGCCAAAGGGCATCGGTGGTTTTGAACCATGTGACCGCATGGATTTGTACCATGCGGTCACATGGTACAATCTTTTGACCGTTGGAAGCCGTTTTCTACCGTTGAAAATTTTAATTTAGTGACTTTTGACTTATAGGTTTGTACCATTTCGTGAATGTGGTGTATGCCTATATATATTGGATCTTGTTGAAGACAAAAACAATCACAAAAACATCAAGGTTCCATACTACTTCCAAAATCAAATATCAAAGTCTTTTAAAGGCCATATTCAATATTCATCCCTTGTGTTCTTCAAGTTTTCTAGAATTTGCACTTGTGCTTTGGTGCTTAAATCCTTGCAAGGCTTGTTATAATTCTGCAAACCATTTGCCAACAACCTTCAAAGCATATCAAATTCATATGAGAAGGGGCAAATATTGTTTGAGAACAACGATATCGTGTTCAAGTCATTCGTTGATTCAAGTTCGTGATTATCTTGTTATTGATATTGCCGGTTCGTGTTTCGTGATTTTTATTCCAACCCGGTGAAATTTTTTACAACATATAGAAGGCAGATATATATAAGAGAATTGAAACGTGTGTGTGAGAGTTGAGACGGGTATCATAATTTATGAATTAATTCACTCACCTGAAACTTGGCTTCTTCTTGACCATCTATATAAGCGAGCAGTTCCTCTTGCCTCATCAGAGCCTCGTGCAGAGCCTACTCAATAAACCCCAAAAATCATCACTTAAAACTGCCTTCACAAAGATGTTGTGCAGGTCATCTTATTCGTACTAAATAAAATGGCCAGGCGATGGCAACAAGGACAAGGTGTGAGAAAGCAAACGAAGATTTAGTTGAACATGTGAAGTTAAACGCATGTACATATATGCACAATAACAGTAACATATATCTTATTTCTTATTTTTATAAACATATTTGGGTAAGTTACTTTGAGAATGCTTGCCTGTTCTTAGAACGAACTTAAGTAAACTTTCTATAATAGCAGGTTTTGTTAGTCAAAACAAGAATGTTCCTTTCTCTTACATTTTAAGTAAAAAAAAGTACTGATTTTGAAATTAATTCTTACCCTTACTTCAAAAAAAGTATCTCGTTCCCAATCTTGAACAACAAAAAAATTATTTATTTAAAAATCTACTTATAAATAAGTACACTTACAAGTAAACTTTTTAAACTTAGCCAAAAATGCAAGTAATGCATTTATTTTATTAGTTTCTTTTAGTGGATCCAACAATAGCCAGACCAGTTAGGTGCTGCCATCTGCTGATCTTCATATAGTGGGAGAGCCTAAAACATGTATAACTAATACCACAAGTGATGAGGAAAAAATTGTACTAAAGAATCTGCCATTATACGGCGTTCTCTTGGTTGAAAACAGAATATATGCCACACTTACATACCTTTTTGGTTGCAATTAAGTCTACTTCAAGGGCATCTACTCGATAAACAGCAGCATTCAGCAGTTCTTCTTTTTCATGGGGCATTTCCAATGGCTTTTCTTGAAAAGTATTCACCTTTGCTTCAAGTTCACCCAGCTTTTTCAAGACAGAAGATAGAAGTTCCACCTCGGCCAATTCTGGAGGCGGTGAAGGGGGTCGAAATTCTTCTTTAGGGATCAAGCCAGATGCCGACTCCTGAATGTTTTCCTCAGGATATGATGATGCATTGGGAAGTTTCTTGGTGATACGGCATGACATTGAACGGAAGAACACAAGAAGGGTCGAGAAGAATGCCATGATAACTGCCAAAAGTCGAGCATGAAGTCTTTTTCGCGCCTCTTGAGAATTGGGTGGAAGAAGCATATCTGAGTTAAAATTTTTGGGAACATATAAACAGAATGAAATAGGTTAAGATTTAACAACAAAACAGATAAACACAGAAAAAGGGATAGCATCAATAAATCATTCCAGGTCATGATCCCGAGTCATACTGATATGGCAGACAGGTAAAAAACTAATTCAAAAGTCATCTAAAATTACAGAACATGCAAGTGAACAGATAAAATGAAAGGAAAATTCAACATGCAGTTCTAAGCAGATAAGAGAGAACAAGAGTTTGTCTTCCCATTGCCATGATCAATGCCAAACTAGGCAAGTTGTAAGAGTTTTCAAGAGAGAATAATATAATTAGATGCAAAAACTGAATCAATATGGTGAAGCATCACTTTGCAGATCATATGAAACAATGATGTAGGCTGATTCAGATATTATGTGTGGAGACAGCTACAAAAGTAGAACTTCTAATGTAACTAACCTTTAGAAATATAAGGTTTTGGAAGCAGTGCCTGCTTCTTCCAGCCAGAATCAACAACCTTGTCAACCATAGGAACATACTCATCATATCCTGATAAGTTACCAACTAAGCTAGTGTTTCCAATAGCTTTAGCCTGAGAAACAAATACTTGAAATAATCAGTAGAGGAACGCTGATCCTCCATATTAATATTTGTGAAGGATTGAGAGAGTGTCAACACTTTTCTGTGCTGAACATTTAACACTGTATATGGTGAAGGTATCCCTTTCTCAAGTAAGGAAAATTGGATTTATAGGAAAATTTATTCCCTACAAGATACAGTGTGTTTAGTTATATTTCATGAAGAATTTGTACCTTATATCAGAAATAAAATCATCGTCAGTATTAACAATAATTATCAAACAACTAATGAACTCTTGAATAATGGCACTGGACTTAATTTTCAGTAGCAAGAGATTGCACTACCCTACCTATAAAAATTTGATCTCAATATGAATTCCATGAAACTGTACACCTTTTGAAGGGTATATATAGATGCTTTTAAACTAATCAAAGAGATGATATCAAGCAATGATAATTTTGCACTCACATTGCAATTAAGCAAATACTAGCTGACCTAAAAGCACCAAATTAAACATTTGCACAAGCTACCATTAGACTTAACACTAAACAAAGGAGGTTTCAATTAAACTCGTACAAAATATTATTTTCAACTGCAGATAATTAAAATTTCTAATCTTGAAGTTCGGAGGCTTAACCCTACCTCCTCACGAACAGGAGTCAACCGAAGGTGTGAGTAACTCCTAATAGCATTTGGTGAAGCAATATCTTCAGCTTCAGAACCAGATTCAGCAGTTGAGGTGTCACTGCCTTTTACCTGCTTCAACAACCAAATAAAAAACAAAATCTCACATAAAACTGAAATATTGTGGAGTAGTTGTGCCTAATCATATGTATAAAAGACACAGTCCATACTATTGAGTAGTGGTTTTTAGCATAAACTATCTCTCCTTCGCTGTTAAGAATTTTAACGACCTGCCTGGCACGTCGTGCTTCGCCATCAAGGACCATCTGCAACATGATTTCAAGTCTTTCGTTCTTTTTAACACGAACAAAATTATAACAAATCAATGTAGATCAATTTAATAGTTCCCACTAGTAAGGACCTTTAGTATCTCTGGATTTTTCCATGGCCCTTTATCTGACCGAAGGCAACCCCCTTGGTCTACACAAGTACACGTTCCACCCAAGAATTCTGGTAACTCACTGCACAAACCCACAAAATTTACTTTAGAATCTCCAAATAAATTTCAATGGTCATCGCAAGTTGCAACAATCCTTTCCACTATTTTGCACCTGGCATCTATTATTTCAAGCAACTTGTTCTGGTATTTGTTTCCAAGAACCTGTAAGATATTCCAAAAAAAAGGTAGACCTATTAGTTAAAAGTCAGCCATTCCAAGTGAGAAAAATAATGCTTCCAGATGGAAAAAGGAAGAAATAGCAACATACATGGATCTTGGTGGTGGTCCTAGGATCAAGAAAACTCTTTACAGTACTCCACAGTAGCCTAAAGCCTGGACCAGCATTGATGATAAACATTTGATGAAGTGTCTACAACATTTGGAGGGCACAATATATTACTACCAAGACTACACAAAACCTAATAGCTCCGATCAAGTAAAAGTTTGAAACGTTACTTCAGGATAATTATCGCCATCAATCTTCTGAAGTTGTGTAATGAGTTCCCGTGCACCCTTAGTAAAGTTTTTCAAGCCCTGAAGTGAACAAAAAAATAAAAATAAAAAAATGCATAACTAAATAAAACATAATCTTCACTCTGATTGACATAAGATGTATGTGCCACAAATGGGAAAATTAAATAAATGAAGTTGAGCAGCATATAACATACCACACCATGAACATCCAAAATTGTTGTGCTTGAATCAATGTGCCTTTTGGCAGCAATTGTACAAGCTGGGAACTTAACAACAAAACTTCTCTCAAACTCTTTCACGTGGTATTTAACATAACGGTCAATGGTGGTAACTTGCATAAGTTTGTTAGGGTCAACTTTCCCTAGTCTTTCAATGTACACAGGCCTTCCCTCTTTATCGACTCCATGATAACCATGGGGGTAATACTTCAAAACTTCATTCATCTCTTGGAAGTGAAAATCCTGGTGGAAAAAGGGAATTTATAAAAGAAACGTGACTAAAGCTAAAATTGGAAGAGTGAAGATTACCAACTAAAGATAATCAGGTGGTCTTGCCCAAGTTAAACATTGGAAAATTTTTAGCTTTTACCTCCGCAATGGTGTCAGTACCAAAATCTTTCCTCCATTGGATCATATCAGCCCACATCCGTTTTGCTTTTTCAATATCAAATTTCCTTGCTTTCAAAAACCTGCAAGAAATACTTCTAAAAAAGTCTAAATAGTTGCTGACTCAGAAGAGAAATAAAAATACTGAATCAGAGCATCTCTTGTATCACAGAGATAACAACCATGCTTGTATGCTTTATCATATACTGATACGATGATAATTTTAACCATTCATGTGAGTAAGTTTCCCTTCTAACCTTCCAACTATGTACAAAAATGTTTACAATAAACAGGAAAGTAACTTATCCGGAAAGACTAAATACAACCCTTCAAACCTTAACCACCTAGTACAATATAAGAAAAAATGCAAAGTGATGCTGCTCAATCATAAAATGTCCCACTAAAGGAGGAAGGGATGTCTGGTTACCTCCACAGTAATGAGGGTAAATATCAGGACATCTATATGATAATCCAGGATGCATTTTATATCTCCATCCATACACGCGAGCATTTAACTAAAAGTAGCAAAATTGTTGTATAATAACCTCAACATCATATGATAATCATCAAATTTGTCTGGCAGCAACTCATCCAACATCAAGGCTCGCCGAAATGCCTTAACAGCTTGCAGCTCCTCAGCATCCCGGATATCCTCAATTGAAACAGAGCTACCACGAACATCGCTCTTTCTTCTACTGCTCTTCTTCTTCTTGAGAGAATGCTTGAACTTTGAAGATGCATTCAATGCTTTCTTTTTTAAGGAACCAATTCTCGACCTTCTTTCATCCTCAGAATTTTCAAAATCAGATTTTCTTTCTCTCCTCTCATCATTGCCAGATGACCCCTCAAAGCCTGTTCCATGCAAAAAGTACAAATGTAATAAAAACCATTTTAAGAGAAGAAATACAGCATGATTCGTGTGATACTCCTGCTTGCCTCAGCATTAACTAATTTTTTACGCTTGAGATGATCTAATAGTAAAATTTCCACTATATATAACCAGTTAGCTCCAGTTATCAGAGAAGTCCAATATTGGGTGCCAACTGAAGCTTTTAATCTATGTAATTGGCTTGGTAAAAGAAACATTTTTTTCACATAATTTAAACATGTTCCGAAATACAGGATTAACGGTTAGGAATCTCCATTAAACGCTTTCTTCGAGTCTTTGTACTTATAATTAAACTCCATTAAATGCTTTCTTCGAGTTTTTGTACTTATAATAAAAAAAAGCCACATCTCATGCGTGTGTTGTGTCAACCCAGATGTCAACCTTGAGGGCACTGTAGCAACACTCTTAAACTTATATTTAGTCCCCGTTTGGCCCCTATTTGGTTGGTGTGGGGGGGGGGGGGGGAG